GCTATGCCAACGCGAGTCTCCGATAGATTAGGATCGCGGCAAGCTTTATCTTTATTTTTCTTTCGCGCGAATTATATCTCAGTCTGCGAAAAACTGGCAACTAGCGAGAGTGCGCTACTTTTACATTGCGTGCGCGCGCGTTACTTTTCTGCTTCCAAGCCACCTTCGAGCGCTTACTTCGCAATGCCATCGACGCTTCTTTACATCTTCATCCTTGGGGGCGTCAGCGCTGGTACGATTCACATTATCAATTTATCGTCATCGTTGTTAAGACGATTAACGTTATTAACGACCTACCCGTTCCAGGCAACTTTCCCTCAACCTATCATCGCCAATACTCGGACTTTTCCATAAAAACAGTTGGTAACGGTTCGTGAACGTTGCACATTTTCACGAAAGTGGACTTGATAAGCTTGTGCGACATGCCAAGTGCCGTTTCTAGCTTGGCAGAGTAGATTTCTGCTTATTACGTGAGAAAGTGTTTCGAGCGGTTTACTCAAATGTCACGTTTCTCATCCGCAGTCAGTCAAAAATTGAAATTGTTACGTTATCCCTTATAAAATATATAAGCAATGGCTGACATTTTTTTGCCTCGAAGAAAACGTGTTTTTATCACTTGTTACATTAATTTTATGGGTTGTTTTTTCATTTACAATACATGATGGATACATGTTTTATTTGCTTGAAAATAAGCTTAAAAGGAATGTATCAGCGATATCGGCCCTGCAGTTGGTTACAAAACGGTCAAAAAAAAAAAAAAAAAAAAAAAAAAAAAAAAAATGGAAATGTTCAAAATAATTAAATCCATGTTTTGTCGTTTTCTTGAACGAGCCTAACTTTATGATGCGTGTTGGATATATAAACATTTCGCAGTAAAAAAAGAAAAAAAAAAAGAAGAAAAAAAGAGAAAAAGTAGCATCCTATAACTAATATCATAAAGACCGAATGATTTATGAGTTTTATTAATATAGGCTGTAATTTATTCATTCTCAACATTGTCAATTAATGCGAGTAATAAAAATTACGTATTACGTTTTGTTCTAGTAAAACATTGAACAATTTTGTTTTTTTTTTTTTTGTTTTTTTATTTTTGTTATTGTTTTCTAATATAATTACTCAATAATCATTGCCTATTATTTATTAACATTAATTATATAATTTTAATTAACAGCGAGTCAAAAAAATAAAAAATACGTAAGAAATAATGAGTCAGACGTTTTATAGAATTCGCTGTGTATGTTATCAAAATTGACCATTGAAATGTAAATATTCTTTTATCCATTAGTTTTTCACTCGTGTGTTTCTCTCTGTGTTTGTGTTTGCGTTTGCGTTTGCGTTTGCGTGTGCTTGCGTGTTTATGCGTTTGTGCATGCGTTGAAATTATATTTTGTATGAATTAGTTGCCGTTTTCAAAAGTAGCGCACTTTTATGAAATCAATTAAACTTGTTGTACGTACAAAAACTTCTTCCTTAGTGTAATTAAAATCGAAAACCTACATTCCTCAGACGCTACACGATCGTATTATGTAATAGTGAAACTATACATAAAAGCTATTTCATTAATTCTATAAGTTTGAGAAAAATTTTGAAATTATTGTCGATCTGCTTTCAGATGTCCGATTACTAATGAATTATTATATGACATTTTCGATGCAAGACGACGGCATCCAAGTCACTAAGTATCGCTATTCGAACAACAGAAAAGCTACAGCGAATTATTCTACAATTATATTTACATTCAAATTTCTTTATCCTTTCATTTATATCATTCGAATAGAGATTATTCAATTCGAATTTTAAAAATTAACTCATCATATATCACTCAATGTATTTTTGAAAGCCATGTAATTATCCGCAAAAATTATATATCTTTCAAAAGTATTCTTGATAATATTTATATAACATCGGAGGCTAAAAGCACCGCTTATTCGGACAATGTACTTAAAAATCCACACGCATGGGAAAGTATGCAGATGATTCATTGTACAGCAGAATACTTTATTTCTTTAAATTCTATACGTATTTTGTATGGTATTATTCCTATAGTTGGGACACACGTGTTTGGCTCGATTTTTCGTGCACCGACAATAGTGAACGAAAATTTTTTGCACATGATAAAATATATATATTTCTTTCCAAACTATGATTTGTACTGCCTCGCTTACGCAAACATTTCATAATTTTTGAATAATTTAAGGTTATATGGATGCGCATGCAGATGTGGCCAGAGTAGGAATTGGGATAAACGATCGGCAAAATTATTTCAACATCGAATTGTTACAAGTACGTTCCCAGTTACCTGCAATATTCAATTTAACAGTAAACACTGTAAATATGAATAATTGACCAACTTGATTATCCGTATATAGAAACTGGCCCAAATCCAGCGGGGCAATGTAATTGTGGGCACGGGCAGCGTAAAGACAGCTTTAATGATTCTTGCTGAGGCAGCTGCGGGTCAAACGCGCGAGCAATTTGAATCTACACTGCGATTATCCTCCAATCCTGATGAACAAAGGAGCATATTTGGTTATACCATCGATCCCTACAAGGTAATTAAATTCACGTAATCACTTAATGCAACGTCGAATTAAGCCAACGTGTCAAGCCTCTGTACGTGACAAAGAGAAAACTTAAAATAATAGATAGAGGCTGCGATCGATCGCTTAAATTGTTCATAAATCATTAGAGCCGAATGCGTTCAGCAAAATGCTAGGGAATGTGCATGTGTGTATAGTCGATGAGCCGAAAAACAAAGAAGCCCTTTCGATTCCGCGTAATTCGCGAACTGTAAAACGTGTAATTAAATAAATACTGCGCATTTACCACTGTCTTATCCTAGTTTAAAATGATAATTTCGTGTTTTCTTTCTTTCTTTTTTTCTTTTTTTTGTTACGTTTTTGTTACGTTTTTGTGTGTTTTTGTTTTGATTTTTGTTTTTCAATCTTGGCCTCGGATGGAATCAAAACAAAAAAGAAAAAAAAAAAAAAAAGAAAAGAAAAGAAAACTTCAAAACTACCCATCGATATCCGTACCACGCGCATAGGTAAATTTTACTATTGTGTATGCATTGTCGTGACTAGCAGTTAACTTTTTTTTTATTGCTTCTTTTTCTTTTTCTTTTTCTTTTTTTTTTCTTTTTTCTTTTTTCTCTTTTAATTAATATAATTTTCGATAGAGAAAAAGGACAATTTGTAAATATTGTAAATTTTTAGTGCTCGTTAAGATGAAATTCTTCGACCTATAAACTTAAAATTAATGAATTACAATAATATAATACCCGCCTCCCAACTTAATGACGAAGGAAGAATAATAATGTTGGAATAAGTGCATCGCACAGAACGGCATTGAATTTCAAATGAATTATTATTACACGGTAGATTTCATAATTGAAAGTTTGCTTATGATATTATCGTATGAAACTTAGTACTCATAAAGCGAAAAAGAAAGGCGGCCGACATTCATAATAATGATATTTTCAACCCACTAGGACGCGACGAATAATATTGAATTGAAGAACGCGATCAAGTTATGGTTAGCAACGGACGTAAGACTATTAAAAAATTATAGCGATATTTTGCATTACTTTTACAAAGGAGAGATCCAATCGGTCAACTTCAATAACATTGGCGAAACAATAAAAATCATAAACGAATGGGCAGCCCAGCAGACGCACGGCCACATAAATTCAATTATCGACGAAGGTAAGGCTCGCAATGGAACATATAGCCAATGAATTTGAAAACCTTGATTCATGGATTTTAATGGCAAATTGATTGTTCTTTCCTTCAGGTTTCTTTTCAACTAACACAAGAATCATATTAACAACGGCAGTATACTTTAAGGGCGTCTGGCTTCAAGCTTTCGACAAGACGGCGACGAGTCTAAGATGCTTCCACGTAGCCGCGGTCGGCTGCAAGAAAGTACCTTTGATGGAAAACATTGCCGAGTACAAGTATGCCTATGTGCCCAGCATTGACGCTCAAGTCGTCCAAATTCCTTACAAGGTCTGTCGACTTACTTTTACGGTTTACGGCTATTTCCTTCAGCAGCTATCCGTTTATGCCGAACTTTATGCCTTTTACTCGATAATTCAAACCAATTAATTCACGGATTATAGGGAACATTAGTTCCTAGTCCATTATAATTACGTCTAACGCCATTATTATTATTATTTTTCCCTATTGTTATTATTATGATTTTCATTATCTAGAATATATTATTGCTTACTTATTGGTCGTCGTTCTTATCGTTGCTGTCGTCATAATCATTATCATGGGCACAGCTACAGCCGTTATTGCACTTTTATATCATTATCATCGTGCGTCCGAAGCATTCCTAATTTCTGCTAATTTTAATTTACTCAAGGCTAACGAAGCATCTATGTTGATCCTTCTACCGATGCACAACGGGGAGCGAGCACTCGATGATTTAACCCGAAATTTAGCCTTTACTCCGATATCGGCAATTTTGGCGAGCCTTTACGATACAGAACTCTTGTTGCAAATTCCACGATTCAGCATAATAAATAAAGTCGATTTACGCGAATCTCTCGAGCAGGTGAGTGCATACTTTGTCATAGAGTTTTTGACGCATGCTACCCTTTTTTCTTTTACTTTCTCTTTTTTTGCGTACCAATCCTACGTACTTACGTCTCTCTTGTTTTTAGCTTGGAATCCGAGATTTGTTCCAGAAGAATGCCAATCTCACAATGGCATTTCCGGCCAATACCGTAAAGGTTAACGCAGTTATACATAATGCAAGGATTGATGTGAACGAGGAGGGAACTGTTGCATCGGCCATCACTGGTAATTTCTTAATTCCCCGCTGTCGAATAAATAAATGTACACGTAAATAAGTTAACAAGTCATTCGCTTGGTTGCTTAACACTTCTCTTGACTATCATTGGTCAACATGCTCACCATTTTACTACTCGCATTACCGATTAACATTCGTTTAATGAATTTCTTCCTCGTTCACTTTTATTACAAATGCCTGAGAAATGCAATGAGAATGTACCAAAGAATTTTCTAAACAATTTTATGACTAAAATGTAATTGTAAGTGGCCAGTAATGGCGTATAACAATGATTATTTATTAATGAATTGACTTATGAGCGTATAAAGGAATGTAATAATATTCATCAAAAAACATTGAAAGTTGAAAATTATCCTTTGTAAAATACAACTTATGCTGTGCCAATTACTAGACAGAAAAGAGGAGATTTCTATGGTAGCCGGCAAAGTAGATTACTTTAATAATTTTGAAACTTCGTACGGTTGTATGAGGGGGAAAAAAAAAAAAAAAAAAAACGAGTACTGTATTTTGATTATTAGCAACAATATGCATTTAAAGAAGAAGTACCAAAAATATTGAGAATGGCCATAACCGCAAATACAGATTAAAGATAAGAAATGTTATTCTTTACGTAATACGATTAAATTGATATAATTTTGTTTAAATATCGGTGTATACACGCGAGAAATTATAATGAATTATGAACGTAAACGAGCGAAAGATTAACATAATCAAAATTTCATCCCATATATAGATATTGTAATTATTATTGTAATAATAATATATAAGAGGCATGGTAATATTAATCAAAAAATTACATAGACATTTGAGGGTGCAACAATGATTTACTTCGTCCGATAATGATTTACGAAAAAACTGAATTACTATCACAACGTCGTTTCTCATCATCTACATTAATATCTCGTTGATAAGAATATTAATAAGACTATTAAATTAATATGGTAGAGTATAGGTCAATGAATGGGTAAATAAAAGTGAATTAAATATTATAGGTGTTTCTGTGATACCGCTAATGGGATCGACAACGATGACTTTCCGTGCCGACAAGCCATTCATCTTCTTCCTTTTGGACAACCAAACAAACAATATTTTATTTGCAGGACGATTTACTCAACCCGACGACTAAATGCCTCACAATGAAATTAAAGGGTAATGGAGTTAATGATATTTTTGATTGAATTAATGAAATACAGCCAAAAATTACAACTAAAATCTAATTCATAATAATATGCAAATTATTTAATTTATTGAAAGATATTCTTGTATGAAAGATATACTTATAAGCTAAAAATTTTATATAAGTAATGTGTGAAATAACTACATCAACGTTACTATTATGAAAATAATAAAACTATTGTAAGAATAAAATGCATAATTTTCAAAGATTCTTCTCATTCTTCTCATCAAGAATCACATCGACGAGATAACAAATAAAATTAAAAGCCCGCAAAATACGTAAATACGTAAATTAGTTATATTGGATTGGTAAAATTTATTTTAATTTTACAATAATAGCGTGTGTGACGTGTCAAGCTATATATCGATAATTAACGGAAGCGCTTAATGGAACCACAGACTTAAGCGTAAATTATTAATAATTAAAAATATACTTATATATTTTAAATATATTTGACTATATTTAAGTTTGCATGCTTTTTATTTTTGCCTTATTATTATTATCTTATTAATCTTATTATTATTGTTATTATTATTATCGTTGTCATTTACATGACTTTCTTTTTCTTCATCGTTATCGTGATCATCATTAGTCGCAGTAACACGATCATCATATAAAATATTATAATTGTAATTATGTTAATTATTGTTATATTAAATCATTATTTTCGTATATTTAAATGAGCTGAATATTTAAAAGAACATATTCGTTAATAATAAAGCAGCATTATTATTTCCGATTTCGCAGTAAACACGTCGAAAATGTTTACCATACCCTTTTAGTCCAATTTAATATTACGTGCTCATCTTCATTTTCGTCTATCTAAGGATCTTTTACTATCCCACTTTATTACTAAAACCTTATTTGCCACTCTTTTATTTCTCACTCTATCCAGATGCCCAGCCTATCTCAATCTATCTAATTCAATTGCCCTTACAATATTGGATGAATTTTAAAGTTCCTCTACCTCATGATTACGTAATTTCCTGTCTTCTTGTCGCTTTCTTTGTCCTCTTTTGCCTCAAATATTTTTTTAAGTGCTTTAAATTTATATTCATCATATTTTTTTTTTTTTTTTTTTTTTTTTTTTTTTTTTTTTTTTTTTTTTTTTTTTTTTTTTTTACGTCTGTGTAGGACTACAAAGAGTATTATTATTTTATAGTCCTTTACTCTTACATTAGGCGGTGATGAGAAGGTTTTGAAAATAAACGATTAATACAATAAATACCTAAATTTCTTATACACAGTTGAGTATTTTCTTTATATTCTGTTTATTAAATTTCTAATTTTTAGCAATTTAAAATATTTAAATATCGTATTGTGTATGTACGTATGTATGAATGTGTGTATGTGTGTTACTTCTTACTTATAGTCGCTCTTTTCCTGTTCTTAATCATTCATCTACTTTTTTTTTTTTTCAATCGTAGATTTCGTTACTATCTGTTAAGAAATCTAGATCGTCTGTATTTATTGGAATTGAAGTTATGCTATTGAACGAAACTTCACATTGCCATTCTTTTACGTGTATCCAATAATGTATTTGAAGGCTAAAATGAATATGAAATGAGATGACACATCGTCTTTCTTATTTAATTTATCGTATCTATTCAGGACTCTAATAAATTATGTTGTATTCATAATTAAATGAGACCACATTGCGAGACATTTCCCTGTTAATACGATGAACTATTTCGACAATGATATTTTAGTAAAATTTTTAGATTTTTTTTTTTTTTCTTTTTTTTTTTCATCAAACCTAGTCACTTGGATTAGATAAAGTAATAGTTGACAAAGTATTTAAAAAAAAAAAAATAAATAAATAAATAAATAGATACAAGATGTTCATTTTCTCAAGATACCTAATTATAAGCACTTGTTCGCTTATCCAGCCAGTGCGCTGATATCCTCATTAGAAGTTTACAATATATACATTCTAATCGATAAGAGCGCCGGTGCTAAAATTTTAAATTGTATTTTATAATAAATTTATTTTTATAGAATAAATAACCTCTCTTTGTCTTAATTTGCATTCGAATCGATCAAGTAAAAAGGAATTCATCGTTAATGCAAATAAAGAGAATAGAATAAACCATGCGGTGAGCACTTACTTTCTTTCCTTGTCCGAGAGAGTGAGAGAGAGTGTGAGAGAGAGAGAGAGAGCAAAGAAATTTAGGTCTTTGTACTTTTGCGCGTGCGGATCAATAAATTAACAAGGCGTAATTAGCAATTAGAAAATAAAAGATGAGAATATAAACTTGAAATGATGCAGAAGTAGAGGGACGGAAGCGGAACGTAACTTGGACCCGTCATGCTTCGTGCTTGTAAAATCAGCCAACTATCCCATGGATAACGTTACTCACTGAACAACTACTGTCATACATGTTTATTAACGACGCGCATGTTACTTCATATCCTTGAACCGCTAGTCAATGAGGATTATTCACTTTATTCAAGTTTAATTGTAATTACGAAAGTCATCATTTTAAAATCGAAATAGGTCTCGTTACCTAGAGCAGAAATTTTTTCAGAATCACGAGCGTTTAATTTATTTCTACTTTTCTGTCATTTTCTTGGCGTATTATTCTCCATCGTTGCTTATTAGCCATTTGTTTTCGCAATTTGCGTGTTACTTGAAATAATGGCAAACTAGAAAACATCGTCTTGACAATGCGATTGTCACAATTGTTACAATATTGTATTTATATTTATTTCCGTTTATACATTTCACGAGAATATATTTGCTTTGACAATAAATGAGCGATCGTTCGCTTAAAGTCATAATGATCGCTAATATTATTGAATATAGCAAAGCGACAGAATCGACAGATTTTTTAAGTATTATTAAAAAATGTCCGTTAAGGAATGGAGCTAATATTGTTAAATTACCAATTACCTTCGAATCACAATGCACCCTTGAAGTTAAGTTATTTGTAAAATTGTAAAATTTCATCTACGCATTCCTATGTGCAAGAAAAAAAAAGTAATATTGAGTTATGCTTAGTGCAAAAGAAGACATAATAATAAATGAGTTAATTGACAAATTTAAATCAGCATGTTCTATGAAATTTATTCGAGCAATTAATTATTAGTCGTTTATAATCAATAAATGACGTTTCGTATTGTTTATTCGCTAAGAAGAGAAATATGTGCGTGAAAAATATTTTAATAAAAAATAGTTTTAAGAAAATTTAATTGCTGCGTTTAATTGAAAGTGAATAGTCGCCCTAAAGGCTAAAACAGCGGACAATTTCCTATTTTGCGTCGTACTTTTTAAGTAATATTATAATCGTCGTCGTCGTCGTCGTCGTCGTCGTCGTCGTTGTTGTTGTCGTCGTCGTCGTCGTCGTCGTCGTCGTCGTCGTCGTCGTCGTCGTCGTCGTCGTCGTCGTCGTCGTCGTCGTCGTCGTCGTCGTCGTCGTCGTCGTCGTCGTCGTCGTCGTCGTCGTCGTCGTCGTCGTCGTCGTCGTCGTCGTCGTCGTCGTCGTCGTCGTCGTCGTCGTCGTCGTCGTCGTCGTCGTCGTCGTCGTCGTCGTCGTCATTCAATGCTTACGTTTATTAAATCTTGGTAATAAAAATTCTTCAATGAACGTCTCATTTATTCTCCGAACTCTTTCACTTTGACGCATCTAAATATATAAAAAGCAAAATTTATGTCGAGAGCGTTACTTAATTTTCGATATTACAGTAACGAAATTTTTAAGCATAGCCGACAAATTCCTTTTTAGTAGGGAAAATATTTCAATTTTAATTAATACAAAATTATGGCGAAAATACAATCTTCATTTTATATGAATTAAAAAAAAATTTTATTACTTTACGAATAAGGTAGTTTTAATAGGAGAAAGCATATCGTCAGCAATGTTCAATTATTTGAATATTATTTACAATTTTAGACATTTACAATCGACTTAGTTACTGATATTTCATTTATCTTTTATAAATGTAAAGAGTTTCTAGCCAAGTTATAACGATTGGATAAGCGATAGGTAAAGAAAAATATTAAATGCTATCCAACCAAGAACACACAAACATTTTGCTTGAGAAAACCGTGAAATTTATTAATTATTAAATTTTCCGCTACCATCGTAATGGCATCGTTTTATTATGGTAAAGTAGCATGAGCTATCGTACATAAAAGTTGCAATTAAAGCTTGTATGTATCGTCTGTCAAATCAAGCTTTGACTGCATTTCTGGTTGCGGATATGCGCGTAAACCACGGAGCAGCACAAATGCTTGAAATTTACAACAACAAGGGGCTGCCGTTGTATTCGTTTATAGCAATGCATTATGCGCGTACAATTAAATTATGCATTCGCTTGACTATTACTTGTAGAGACAAAGGACCGTTAAAATAGCATTAGCGCAACATGTAATTGTGTTTAAATTAAATGGGCATTGAAGTATATTATTCGCACGGGAGTGGTGTATTTGGAATTGGATGATATGAAAAGTTTTGCTCCATCGAGGTGAAGAGTTGCAAGTTTCTTGGGCGCATTTTTATTGCCGCGTAACCTGAAACAATTGAAATAAAAAGTGTACACGTAATGCCTTCACGCGCTTAATTTACCATTGAACGTCGCGACATTGATTGTAATTGCCAAACCTAATGCCATCGAAACCGTGTCCTTATTACGCTCTTACGTGCGCTTAAAGTCTTAATTGTATTACCCTCCTTAACGCGAAGCGCGCAGAAATATCTAATGTGCCAAATACCATCGCAATTATGATTGATTACTCGTTTGTACGTATTACCGCCTCTCGCCCGAAAAACCAATGGGAGGACAATTTTTACCGCAACGCCTTCCACTCGCGATTTCACTTAACACTTAAGTAATTCAAGTTCCAAAAGCTCGCGCAACTATTAATCAGCTCATTCGATAATGATGATTGATTAATGTTGCGCATGTCGTTGGTCTTCTCGATCTCATGGATAGCGATGAGAGGAATTTTCCCGCGATGTTCCCGTGAAAACTCGACATACCACTCGGCAATTTTTTCATTTTGGACTGCATTGCGCTTAGCGCACTTGGCACTCTGTAAACGAGGCTCCTTCACAAAAGGACTAGAAAAATTGGTAATTTTAAAATTAAATATTAATTGATGGGCGGCAGGTAACCTGAAATAATGAAACAACCGGCAGCAATTTAGTTGACAATGATTCTCGAATTGAGAATACACGTTTAACTTTAATTACAAAGTGATGGAGAGAACATCGGATACTCTTGTGCTCGCTGAAAGAGGCTGCGGTTTATTATTGAATCAATTATCGAGATTCGCAGAAAAATTCTCATAGCAGAAAAAAAGAGCTTAACAATGACTTCCCATAGTCCCGCTTCTACATTCTGACTGGTTTCACAGCTATATGGCTTAAATTTCAAGAGTCCATTCGGTTGTTGCGTGGCAAAAGCTCGAATTGCGGAAGAAAGGAATGAAGAGAGCGAGTGAAACAGAGGGAGGGGT